CCTCAAGCAAAAAAAAAAGGAAGACTGCCAACAGATGTTAGCTCAGGGCCAATTTTCCTCACCAAAAAAAAAAAAAAAAAAAGATTTGAAAGATTATTGATTTGGATCTAAGCAGTTACAGATTTCTGAGCTTTTGGCTTCAAGCTGTGGCCTGAGAACAAGCTGAAGGGAGCCTTTAAAAACAAGCTACACATCCAATGGATAGCTGCTACATGTTAAAACACAGGTTTTAAGGGGCTTCATGAAACAAAGCTCCATGATGAATAAACTTGAAAATGGTAGCCCAGGCCATACCTATTCAATAAGTTGAACGACTGCAAGTCACAGCTGCCTTTGTTCTATTATAAATGGAGCAGCAAAAACGTTTTCAACATTAATCTGTTCATCTAAAGACTTGGGAGCTACGGAAAAGTTCTGCCATTCACCAACAAACTATCCTCCTGCTCAGGCTCTCCTCCTCTCCCACCAGATGAACTAGCTTTCCCCACATTAACATCACGCTGTCGGATCTGCACATCTTTACATATACTCAAGTAATCAAGCCTACAGTGTCTCCAAACCATGCAAGACCCCTCCTATCAAATCATCTTTGAGACTCCAGTTCTCAGTTTTTGCTGAACAACCCTGGAAGTGCCAGCTTATAGACTCATCACTTTTCATCCCTCCTATTTCACACACAGCTTCACCAGGGAGCTGAAGGGAGTTGTGCACAGGTCTGCAAGGCATGCTGCCTATCAACTTGTAAGAGCTCTGTCTTCCCCAGTCAGATTCACCCACCTTAGGGCAGGCAGAGGCCCTCCCTTCCACATAATGCACTGCCACCTGCCTTGAGAACCAGCACTGCTGTGTTCCCCAGCAAAGATACACCCGACACAAAAACTGAAGAACATTTTCTAATATATACTTTGGCAGCTGATGAATATGAAACTAAAGCTGAATATCCTACCAAATGATAACACACGTTAATTTGTGCTACTCTAAGTAAATGCCATCTTCCTCGAACACAAGGCAAAGTGACTGAACACCTTTCATTACCTTTTTCATGCACTTCTCACATGCAATAAGGAAGTCCTTTGGTTAATAACTGATGCTAGCGAGCCAAATAAGCGTGTTGGTTGGTTCAGCAAAAGTTTCTGACCCAGAATAAACTCAGCCAAGGTCACCAAACCAGAAATTTTATGACGGTCAGAAACTGGCCTTCCTTCCCCATATCTACACACAGAGTTCTATTTATTTCTTCCAAGAAAGGAACCAGATTAAAACTCAGGACTCCCTTCAAATACTCTTATTATAGCTCACTCCAAGTGGATTCTCTTCCTTTCCCTTTTTCCTGCCTTCTTCTTCATTTCCAGACCCATCCAATGGCCTTCAGGTAATTCTGCCCCAGTGAACCAATCACAGCAACTCTCCAGCTGGCAGCAAGGAAGAGCCAACAGCATGAACAACCTTTCAGACCATAACAGTTAGTTGCCCTCTGGTGTTCTTGTTATGGCAACAGCATACTTTTCCACAGCTGATGAGGATGTTATGCAGAAGAAAGACAAAAAGAAAAGGCTAAAAGAGCTTTCAATGTTTTCAATGTTTCTGCTCATTCCCCAGAGCACAATTCTCCGAGAAGGAGACAGTTCACAACGTAGAAAAGAAAGGTGGCAGAAAGAACTGCATTAGCTAGCATTCCAGGAGGTAGAAAAGTCTTCATTAAATGTTCGCATACTTTTAAACCTTTCCCAGTAAAATAAGTATCTCAAGATAGTGAAGGAAAAAACCGGAGGAGGGATCAGGACACTAAATATCAAGCTACCCAATCACATTAATTAAGTGTATGATACTAACAAGTTACTCATTTTCTCTGGGTCTCAGTTTCTCTCAACTATAAAATAAAAGCATTAGGTCCTGTCCAACTAATCAGAGTGTTATAAAAATGAAACCAATTACAGTAACTTTGGGGCTAGAAGTAGCTTCTCAAGGGAAGAAGCAAATATCACCTCCACTCCTCCACAGGCAGATAAAACTAAATAAAATCAAATCCACAGGAGTTTTGGGGGTTTTTTTTGCCTTGAATTTACCCAACAAAAATTTTCCTCTTCCTTAGTAATGAGAAAAGGTACTCTTCTAGCAATACAAGAAATCCAAGAGGTTACACTAAGTGTGTTTTCACCCACCTCTTATTTTCCAAACCACAGGAACGCAATTTTGAGAAATTTTTTTCAAGGGTAGGCTGTATCTTCTCATCCCCAATGAATAAAGGACTCTCAAGCAGGGAGAAATGGTCAAGCTTACTGTGTTGTGACAGCCTCTGCCCAGTCTGATGATTTAGGGCATTCAGCACCTCAACTGTTATCCTGGAATGCTCTGACATGTGTATGACACTCCAGAAGCTTGAGACAGGAAACGCTAATCCCTTTCCTTCCCTCTAAACAGAGATGTCTAATACAAGCCTACTGACTACCATTTTTCTAAACGTTTTCAACTCTGAAATACGTTGTTAGCACTTGTCTATAGTGCTATGTAAGTTTTTTGTTCTAGAACTAAAAATCTTATCAACACTCAACCCCCACCAAGATTTTAAAACGATTCAGAGCAAGGACTGCATTTCCTACTTTTGTCTGTGGTCCCCTTTTGTGCAAAGCACCGTGCTGGGCCCACAAAACTCACATAGGATATCTAACCATATTAATTCAAGCGCCTGGAGGTGACCAGATAACAATCAATCATCTCAGGGAAATAAACTCACATGGGAGGAGAGAGGGAAACGCAACAAGAAAGATGGACAGACCACCAGAGGGTGGAAAATTTCCAAAGGGGGAAAATTAAATCAATAAATACTGAAAATCTAAACTGCACTGAGTTAATTGCTATAAAATAGTGATTAAATCCAACTGCAACAGAGCTGTATCCTATAAACACACTAAGTCTTTGTGTCCAGAATCTAAAGAGTACAATGTGCTCTACCAGTGAACACAGGCTCAATATAATAGATGAGCTGAGATGACAAATATTTAAATCTGAAACAAAGAACCGTGTGTAGAAACTATCTGGAGATAGGTTAAGTGATATTTGAGAAAAAGCAGTGGTGACTGTGTGTGTTGGGAGAAAGAGCAAATAAATCAATATTTCTGGCAAAATCTTTCCAAGCATTTTAGGAACTAATCCAGACCATGAGCCAGGCTTCTATCTTTAAAGTAATGCTTAAAGACTAGGCCCTTATTTTAAAAGCATGGTAGCCTGGCTGTTTGAAATAAGCCAAAAGGGTGCCCCCCCCATGACTCTTCCCTCAAGGGAATAATGATTAATCTATAGCTAGAAGTTTAGTTCCTTCCCCAAATAAACAACAGCTGATGGAGTTGTTACTATGACATATGTTCTGAACTGCTGGAAGCACAGGCATTTACTGACTAATACCACAAAGTATTCTGGAAGAAGTTATAAATCCCTTTCCGTCACTTTGGAAAACAATATCTACTTCTTAAAAGTTGTCAGTTCAAGTTCAAGACAACCCTATCTGGAGCAGATTCTAGTCTGTCAAAATCTTTCATGATTAAAAAGCAAGATCTCAGTATGCTCAGTGGCTGGCCTTGAACAGATGAGGTCAGAAGGGAGGTTTCTCCAGTGACGTAAGCCACCTCACTAAAACCCCACTGTTCTGCTCTTAAGCCCAGGGCTCCATACACACTGATGACCTTCTCCTCCCTGGGTCATTTTAAAGTCTTCCAAAGCAGCCACCCTTCCCCTCGAGCGGCCTGCCTGGATTCCTCTGTGGAGATCTCTCTCCTAGCTTTTTATCCGTTGTTGTTGGCAAGGTCGTCTTACTCTAAGGGCCTTGCTATTGTGCAACCGACTCAAGGATCGCCCAGGCCTAACTGCACCGGATTGACTGTGGTACAACTGGTGAGCCCAGCCCACAGGAACGAAGCTAGCAATCTTGTAGACTGCAGGGGCTGCCAGCAAAGTTCAACCCTCTAGCAAGAGGTCACCCCATCACCAAAAGAAAGCAAATTTCCTAAGTTAAAAAGGAAGCACCATTCCCTTTCATAAAGTCCCTCGAGATTGCTCTCCAGTCTCCTCCCCTTGGAGAACAGCCCAGTCAAGGGACAGACAACCTTTGAGCTCCCTTTTCCCTCACCAACTCAACGCGCTTCACCTCCACCCCAGTGTTCTTCCTTGTAAACGGTTCCCAGGCGTACTTCGGAAAGCAATGCCCAGGAACCTCGCTCTACACTGCCCGTTCCCCAAGATCCCGCAATCCTACCGACGAGGGTGCACTCCTTGACAGGGCCCTCTTCAATCTATCTCCAAACGCGTCGCCGCCAAAACCGTACCCTGAAGGCTGCCAGTGCTTACCACCCCCACCTCCTTCCCCTTGGCTATTACTTGAGCATTATTTTACCACTCCTCCAGCCCGGGGACTCCCCCTACCCGTGAGGCCTCGTCCAGCAAAGTAAACAATGCTGTCAGAGCAGGATAACGCTGGGCGAGGCTTCCAAACTCCGCATTCCAGCCTCCTCCTGGTGTTCTAAAATCAGGAAAACAAGGCATCGCAGGGTCCCAGGAGCGAATTACTCTCCCCAACTTCCTTTCTAAAAAGGCCCGGGAGAAACTCCAAAATCAAGCATTAGTGTGCACAAATGCACAATTTGCAAGAGGCAGAGGCAATGCAGAATGAGTGCAAGGCCAAGTGCAGACGAATCTGCCCGCGAGGAGGCGGAGAGAAAACTGGGTCGAGCGCGTAAACCTGCCACGAAGCGGGAACAAGGGCTTTCTTTTTCCCTCCGGGAGAGCCACGCGCGCGCCGAATCGAGCCGCGGGCCAGAAAGGACGCGAAGTTAAGGCTCCCGAACGCAGTCCTCGGGGGCTTTGGTGGGGCGCGGGGGGGGGCTTTGGTGGAGCTGGGGCGGCCGAGCGTGGACACGCCCTGAGTTAAAGGACCGTGGCGGGAGACTGGGGGACACCGCGGAGGCCGGCCGCAGGCTCCGCGGCGAGGGGCCGGGGCCGGCGCTCACCTCCCGGCGTGGTGGAGAAGAGCGTCCCCCCGGGCGTGGTGCAATAGTCATGAGGTAGCTGCGCGGCGTCGCTGATGGGCACGGTGCGGGTGGGGATGGCGCGGCTCTGGCTGGGCTGGTGGCCGCTGCCGGCGGACGAGGACATGGCTCTGGGCGCGGGCTCTCGGGCTTTGTCCGGCGGGCGGGCTGGCGGGCGGCGGCGGCGGCGGCGGCTGGGGGCCCGGGCTGCTCCGGCTCCTCCGGAGGGCGGAAGGGCGGGCGGGGCTGGGCGCGCTCCGCTCGCTCCTCGCTCGCTTCCTCTCGCTCCCTCGTCCCGCTCCGCTCCCGCCGCCGCCCTCTCAGCCGCCGCCGCCGCCGCCGCCCGATCCTCCGGCCTCCGCCAGCAGCCTCAGCAGCAGCAGCAGCAGCAGCGGCAGCAGCGGCGACGACGACGACCGGAAGCGGGCGAAGGCGGGAGCCAGAGGGAGTTGGGAAGTGGGACGGCCGGAGGTGACGTCGCCGCGGGGCGGGGCGAGGCGGCAAGGGGCGGGGCCGAGGCGGCGAGGGGGCGGGGCCGAGTGTGGGACGGGACTTACCCCCGCGGGCTGGACCCGAGGGGAAGCGGGCCTTCGCAAAGCGGTTGTGAAGCTGGCGAAGGTAGTCAACGGAGAACTTTGGTGTTGGTTTTTGTTAAATTATCAGTCAACACTACTTGAGCCGACTTCTGTTTCCTATCCGTCTAAACAAAAGTTTAATTTTACTTTTAATTGCTCAATATTAAATATAGGCAATGCCTGCATGATATATTTTAAAAAATCAAGAGCAGAAACGTTTACGATGCCACTGTCTCCCGGTTTCCCAATTCCCCTTTCCAAGTACCAGTTTATTATGTATCCTTCCAGAGACAGTCCCTACATACACACATAATGCAACATATAAACATTAAGAAAAGGAGGAGATTAATAGCTACGCACGTCGCAAGGATGAGTACTGAGTTAGAGACAAAGAAACTGAAGCACAGGGTGGGGTTAAAACCAACAGGTCCCTGAAAAATCTAGATCTGGAAAGCTGTTCTTTCCTTTAGGGGTTCTCAAACTTTTTGGTCTCAAAGTTTACATTCTTAAAAACTACCGAGGAGGGGCTGGCCCCATGGCCCAGTGGTTGGTTTCTCGTGCTCCACTTTGGTGGCCCAGGGTTTTGCTGGCTTGGATCCTGGGCCGGGACCTAGCACTGCTCATCAAGCCATGCTGAGATGGTGCCCCATATAGCACAACGAGAAGGACCTACAGCTGGAATACACAACTATGTACTGGGGCGCTTCGGGGAGAAGAAAAAAAAAGAAAAGTAAAAAAAAACTTATCGAGGGGCCAGCCCAATGGCACCAGGGTTAAGTTCGCTGGTTCTGCTTTGGGGGCCAGGGGTTTGTTGGTTCAGATCCCAGGTGCGGACCTATGCACCACTTGTCAAGCCATGCAGTGGTAGGCGTCCTACATATAAAGTAGAGGAAGCCAGTCTTCCTCTGCAAAAAGAGGGAGATTGGTGGAAGATGTTAGCTCAGGGCTAATCTTCCTCAAAAAAAAAAATTAATTTAAAAAAAACCCCAGAAACTTATTGAGGATCCCAAAGAGCTTTTGTTTGTGTGGATTGTATCTATTGATAATTACTGTATTAGAAATTAAAACTGAGAATTTTTTGGTTTTGGTGAGGAAGGTTGGCCCTGAGCTAACATCTGTTACCAATCTTCCTCTTTTTGCTTAAGGAAGAGTGGCCCTGAGCTAACATCTGTGCCAGTCATCCTCTATTTTGTATGACACTGCCACCACCTGGCCTGATGAGCGGTGTGTAGGTCTGCACCCAGGATCCCAACTTCGAACCCCAGGCCACCAAAGTGGAGTGTGCAAACTTAACCAGTTGCCCTGGAGGCCCCCCAAATTCAACCTTTTAAAGTATACAATTCAGTGGTTTTTAATGTATTCACAAAGTTGTGCAGCCATCACCTCTACTAATTCCAGAACATTTTTGTCACCCCAGAGAGATACCCCATCATATTAGCAGTCGCCCACCATTACTTCCTCAGCCCAGGCAACCACTAATTTACTTTCTGTCTGAATAGATTTTCCTTTCTTGGACATTTCGTATGAATACAATCATATACTATGTGGTTCTGTGACTGATTTCTTTCATTTAGCATCATATTTTCAAGGTTCATCCATGTTGCAGCATTTATTAGTATTTTGTTCCTTTTAATGGCTGAATAATATTCCATTATATGGATGTACCACATTTCATCTATCCATTCATCACTTTAGGATAGACTTTTGGATCAATTTTGATGGAAATTTAGGTTGTTTCTACTTTGTGGCTATTCTGAATAATGCTGCTGTGAACGTTTTTGTACAGGTTTTTGTGTGGATATGTGCTTTCATTTCTCTTGGGTATATCCTAGGAGTGAAATTGTTGGATCATATTGTAACTCTAGGTTTAACCTTTCGTGGAACAGTCTCTTTTCTAAAGTGGCTGCACCATTTTACATTCCCATCAGAAGTGTATAAGTGTTCCTATTTCTCTACATCCTTGCCAACACTTGTTATTATCTGTCTTTTTGATTACAGCCACCCTAGTGGATGGGTGTGAAGTGATATCTCATTGTGATTTTGATTTGCATTTCTCTGATGGCTCATGATGTTGAGCATCTTTTCATGTGCCTAGTGGTCATTTCAAAGTGTTTCTTCTTTGGAGAAATATCTATTCAAGTCTTTTGCCCATGTTTTAATTGGGTTGTCTTTTTGTTATTGAGTTTTAAGAGTTTTTTATATATTCGGAAAACTGGAGCCTCATAAGATATATGATTTGCAATTAATTTCTCCCATTCTGTGGGTTGTCTTTTCACTTTCTTGATGGTGTCCTATGAAGCGCAAAAGTTTTTAATTTCAATGAAGTCCAATTTATCTATGTTTATCCTTTGGTTGCTTGGACATTTGGTGTCATATCTAAGAAACCATTGCTTAATCCAAATTTGCAAAAATTTGTGCCAATGTTTGTTTCTAAGAGTTTCATACTTTTAGCTCTTACATTTAGGTCTGTGCTCCATTTTGAGTTAATTCTTGTATATGGCACAAGGTAGAGGCCAACTTAATTCTTTTGTATGTGGATATCCAGTTGACATGACACCATTTGTTGAAAAGGCTATTGTTTCCACATTGAATAGTCTTGGCAAAAACTTGTTTCTTAAACTGATGTTCTCTGGGGAAATCTACACCCAGATGAGAAACTCATTGAAGTGGGACCATTGCAGATTGGCAGAGCACTTTTTAGAATCAACTGAACAATAACAACTATAGCACCTAATGTCCAAGGGTGACTACTACGTCCCACTCTTCTAAGCACTTATGTATACCACTGCCTCGTATATTCCTGACAACGACCCTACACAGTAGTCGTCACTGTTGTATCCATTTTACAGATGGGGAACTAAGGCATAAAGAAGTTAAATAACTTACTGTATTAGTTATCTATTGCTTTGTATCAAATTACCTCAAAAGTTAGCACCTTAAAAGAACAAATATTTATTCTCTTCCAGTTTTTGAGGGTCAGGAATGTGAAAGCCACTCTCTCATGAGGTTGCAGTGAAGATGTTTGCAGGTCTCTAATCATCTGAAGGCTTGACTGGGGCTGGAGGATTTACTTCCAAGCTCGCTCACATGGCCTCAGTTCCTCACCACATGGCCTCAGTTCCTCGCTCACATGGCCTCAGTTCCTCGCTCACATGGCCTCAGTTCCTCACTCACATGGCCTCAGTTCCTCGCTCACATGGCCTCAGTTCCTCACCACATGGCCTCAGTTCCTCGCTCACATGGCCTCAGTTCCTCGCTCACATGGCCTCAGTTCCTCACCACATGGCCTCAGTTCCTCACCACATGGCCTCAGTTCCTCACTCACATGGCCTCAGTTCCTCACTCACATGGCCTCAGTTCCTCACTCACATGGCCTCAGTTCCTCACTCACATGGCCTCAGTTCCTCACTCACATGGCCTCAGTTCCTCACCACATGGCCTCAGTTCCTCGCTCACATGGCCTCAGTTCCTCACCACATGGCCTCAGTTCCTCGCTCACATGGCCTCAGTTCCTCGCTCACGTGGCCTCAGTTCCTCGCTCACATGGCCTCAGTTCCTCGCTCACATGGCCTCAGTTCCTCGCTCACATGGCCTCAGTTCCTCACTCACGTGGCCTCAGTTCCTCGCTCACATGGCCTCAGTTCCTTACCACATGGCCTCAGTTCCTCACCACATGGCCTCAGTTCCTCGCTCACATGGCCTCAGTTCCTCACCAAATGGCCTCAGTTCCTCACTCACATGGCCTCAGTTCCTCACCAAATGGCCTCAGTTCCTCACCACATGGCCTCAGTTCCTCACCACATGGACCTCTCTGTTATGCTGCTTGAGTGTCCGCATGACATGGCAGCTGGCTTCTTCCAGAGTGATTGAATAAGCTACAATGACTCTTATAACCTAGTCTCGAAGTCAGATACGCAATTACTTTTGCCACACCTTATTCATTAGAATCAAGTGACTAAGTACTGCTGACATTCTGTGGAAGGGGAATTAGGCTCCGCCTTTTGAAGGGAGGTATATCAGAGAATTCGTGGACATATTTTAAAACCACCAACTTGCCTAAGATCACAGAGGTTGTAAGCATTTTAACAGAAGCCCAGTGTGCAAGCACTGATAAACCTCTGCTTGTACCACACTTGTTAATGTCCCTTTGCCCAGAACAAGTCAGATGGCCAAGCCCAGAATGAATGTGGAGGGGGACAAGAGCCTTCATACTAGGAGTCATAGTTCACTGGGGCCACCAACTGTGGTAGAACAGTCTACCACAACGCCATGTCTTTATCTCCCTGAAATATTAGTCTTTCTGAAGTTGTCTTTGGCGACTTGCATTGTGTCTGTTTCCTTTGGGTTTACTTTCTTTGCCTGTTTCTAAGTCCCTGTTTATCTGGTTAGAAGCTTTCCTCACAAGCCTGATGATGTTGGGCTGTCCGTTCGCAGTCAGACATTAGCGAGAAGCTGAAATACTTAAAGGAAGCTCTGAGTCGGGGGTGGAGTGGGAGGGCTTGTCTCAGGGTGAGGTTCTCTGTGGGACAATCAGATCCAGACCAGCCATTTCTTTGGAGGACCCCCAAATGTCAGTATCTGTAGAAGTTTTACCTTTTGCTGGTCAGTGTTTCTCAAGAAGGATCCCCCATTTTCCTGCCTGGGCAGTAGAAGTCTGGGTGGCAGGTTCTGACAGCCAAGCTGAGCACACGTGGGGGCTGTCTCCACTCAGAGCGCAGACTTTTCACCAACTCCTTTGCTTTCCATTCAACACCTTCCCCTGGCCAC